CTGTAAAAAATCCAGCCTGATCTTGATGAATTAAGTCCTTTAATACTGATTTCAACCAGTTTGGCAACATAGATGCAAAAAGCTTATAGTCTTAAATCTAAGTCCTTCATCCTGGACCTGACTATAGCTGAGCTATGTGCGTCATGGAAGCAAATACATACATTCCAGTCATTCTATCCCTCTTGCCTCAATTTTTAAAAATCCTTCCTCTGCTGTCAAATTTAGCATTTGACATAGGGATCTGTGTTCTTGTGCGAAGTGCAGTATGTAGTAATGTGTAATAATGGAGAAGGACCACAGCTCAGTGATAGAACATCTGCTCTGCATGCAGAAGGTCCCAGGTTCAATCTGCTGCATTTCCAGGTAGTCATGTGAGTAACACCTGGCTAGGAACCCTGGAGAACCTCAATCAGTTGGTCTGAACAATACTGTGCTAGCTTGACCAAGGGTCTTGCTTGGTCTAGGGCAGCTTCCTCAGTTCCTGTGTTGGTGATGGCACCATTATCCATACTTGTGTTGATCTTACTTGCTGAATACTATCACCAAATTAACATGTCTGTCTCTTGGTGATCTTAGTTCCTACCTTTGCTTAGTTTGTAGCTCAAGTTTATTTGTTCTTCAGGTCATGAGAATGTAATTACCGTACGTCAAATTAGATGTTCAAGTTCTTCAACCAGAATGAGTGTCCAATGATTGCCAGAGGTAGTCCCTCCTAGATACACATTGACAAGAAGTGATTTTTTTAAAAAAGAAAAGAAAAAAATGAGCTGGGTTGTGGTCTTTCCCACTATAAGTTTTAATTCCCCCAAATTCATCTTCAAGTTGGCCATTTTTCCGTCTGTAGACTGAGAGGTAGAGAGAGTGGGAGTGAATGAAAGTGATGACAATGAATAATTCATCGTGACAATGTCACCTCTGGTCTTGTCCACAGCTTCTCTGTAAATACAGTAGGATTTTCTCAAAACCCTATTAATTATTCAGAATTATTCGTGATCCATAACTCATTCTTGAGCATATGTTTTCTGGTTGTTTGATTCTAAAAGTGGAGTACCTTCCAAGGAAAGATCAGGAGTTTCACTTTATACCAGGGATTGAGAACATGCAGCCTTGCAGACATTGTTGGATCCCAATTCCCATCAACCCCAGCAGGCAGGGGTGGTGGGAGCTGTTCTGGCTCTCACTGCCTGATGAAGAACTGGAACCTGAGTTTCTGCTTCTGTCAAATTATTTAATGCATACATCTGAGTGATACATAGGGAAGGCACAGCAGGTGAATGGCATGGCTAAGTGCAAGCTGAGATATTCTTCCAACCAGCTACATGTTCTGAAGATCAGGGTGAGCACAAAATTTTGTGTGGCAAATGAGAGGTGTTTCAGCTCTGGGCAAACCAATGGAAACTACTGCAACTAGGCTGGGGCTGTGGTGTTGTTCATTTCAGTGCTGGTGTCTCTGTGTCCTTGGCAACAGAGGTGCTGCCTTAGTATCCAGCTTACTTTCTGGTCCTTCCCCTCTCCTTACTGACAGGAGGGACCAGTGATGGTCCTTTTGGAGGTGCCTGATATCACAGGGGCAGAACACCACTCTGTGACAACCTGCTTGAACCTTCCGCAGGATCCAGCTCCTGATTTACTTTGATCCCTGGTCCCTTCTGCCAGCTCCAACATCTCTTGAAGCCCCAATTTGCCTGCCTCAGTCCACTTGGGCCCTTCCCTGGGTTGTCTAAATCAAACTCCCTGATCTCTAGTCCAACAACAACTGGAGGGCCACAGATCCCCCATCCTGGCTTACTGCATAAGAAAAGCTCCACCTCTTTCCAGCAAGGGTCAGCCAGAAAGCTGCATCTGAATTCAAAGTCTGTTCCCCAGTATGAGCAATTTGTCTCTAGTGTGAATACACTACCCAAGCACACATTCCTTTCCCCTGGTTACTGGGAGGGGCCTGGGGCAGGTGTGAAATTGAAGTAGGCATAAGTCAGGGGTCAGCAACCTTTTTCAGCCATGGGCTGGTCTACCGACACATTCTACACATGTAAAAACATGCTGATTCCCAGACCATCCGTGGGCCAGATTGAGAAGGCGATTGGGCCGCATCTGGCCCACGGGCCTTAGGTTGCCTACCCCTGGCATAGGTCATGGTCCAAGAAACAAAAGAAGCTTCTTCATTCTGGGAACTGCATTCCCGGAAGGGATATGAGCAGGGTATGTTTTTAGTTGATGCTCAGAAGGTGCCAAGAGGTAGCAGGAAGACATTTTGGATTCTCTCCTCTTTGGGATGTACCGGAAAGATCTTCTGTTCAGGCTGCTTAGGCAATGAGGTAATGGGAAGAGCTCTCCACAGCTTTCCTTGGTTGAGGAGGACCAGGAGAGCACTGTGGAACAAAGATGTAAGTTTATGTGCACTGCTGAGGAGGGTCCTTTCCCTTTCAAGGGGGTGGCTCTACAATGCTCCAGGGAAGAGCAGGCTCTTCTGGATCCAGGCCAAAGAGCTCTGTTCAGGGATGCCTTGCTATACAACAGTGAGATGGTGGTGAATCTGGAATGGCCTCTGGTGCCCAAATCTGATCTCACCTCCTAGCTTGAAAAAGGTGCAAGGGGGTGAACAGGGGGAAATGGCAGGTTGATCTACCACCCACTGTCCTCTGTGGGAAGAATCCTTATGTGTTTTTGATATTGTTGATGTTTTTTAAAATGTAATTGAGCATTGCTTGTGAGCCAGTTTGGTAGGAAATATGTGCAAAGGTGGGATATAAATCATTGCAATAAACAAATTCCACATTAGGCTGTTGGTTCATCTAGCCTGCTGTTGCTTGCAGTGGCTGTCCGTCAGAGGTCTTTTACATCACCTGGTGTCAGATCCTTTTAAGGAGGAGACTGTAAGCAAAGCAGCCACTCCACCACCTAACAATGGCCTAATACCTATACCAAGTCAGATCTTTGGCCCATCTAGCTCAGTGTTGTCTACACTGTCTGGCAACAGCTGTCCAGGCTTTTAGGAAGGAGCCCTTGCTAGGCATTGAGTCTGGGACCTTTTTCATGCAAAGCAGATGCTCCACCACTGAGCCATGCCCTCTCTTCTCAAAGTACATGCTAAACTTCAGTCTCCTTTGCCCTGCAGTGAATCAATTCTGATGCATGGGTCTGATTCCGTAAACCTAAGCAGAAGATCACACTTTGAAAAAGAGACAGGAATGCCAACAACCCCCCCCTCTCTCTATGTGTAATCCCATGAAACACAATCAGTTCTGATGCTAACTTAAAAGCAAACAGAGGAGAGATGTATCAATAAATAGATCTGAGCTACTGAGGGACGAGATCAGATGCCGAAGCCAAAAGATCTGAAAATGAGATTGTGTAAGAGTTATGATTCATGCACACTCAGTAAAAGAAGGTGAATGATAACAAATGCATTTACTAGTTCACGTTCTGGTTACTGGATAAGACCTCTGTGTGTGGCCAGTCTTTTGGTGGTCAGGATTAAGGAATGGATGCAATATACAAAGGATTCAGGGCATTATATATAGCATAACTGCACTGTGTTGTAAGCTCTGAAGGAGTGTAAGTATAATATTGTTTTTCATTTTAAAAAAGTGCTTGTTTTCTGCTAAGTATTTGTCATGTTTCTAATGCATGGATCCAGAACTGATCAATAACCAACCAAATTTAATAAGAAGAACTGTGTTCTTGTGGGAAAGGAGGCTGGTTGCCATGCCAACCATTGATCATCCCTGAGAAGCTACCCTACGAATGTACATCATGAGTTGGGGTCCTGATGGTGTGGGCTATCCTCTAGCCTGTCTGCAGGAAACGGGTTCCTAATTTCAATCAAGCTTTTTCTCCCTGGGAGATTTATAAGGCATCCATACCCATATTTAAGACTGCATCTGTACACAAATTTGACCAGGGATCCCAGTTACCTTGAGTTCTCCATCATGCTGCTTCTTGTGCATATTTGAAAGCAGCAATGCTTATGAATGCCCCTTGCTGGAAACGGCGGGTGGAAGGACTGTGCCCTTGCGCACTGATCCTGCTAGAGAGGCCTTCCCATACAGATCTGGTTGGCTTCTGTAGGAACAGGATGCTGGACTATGGAGAACCATTCACCAGGTCAAGAGAACTCTTCTTATGTTCTTATGTAGTTCTTAAGAGCCTTCTTAAAAATAGACAGTGAGCCTTGTTCCCCCACTTTTTTTTTTTTTTTGGGAAAAGAAAATCATAGTCCAAGTTCCCAGAAACAATAGATGAAGTGGAAATCTTGTGTCTGGACTGTACCACTTCAGTGTGCGACAGGGAATCACATGACTGAATGCTTCTCCATAGAAAAGGAATTCCATTACACAATTAAAAAAATTATGTGCAAAGATGTTGATATAGAAATACATGTGGCCAGTCAATTAAAAAGCTCCCATCTTAACTAAAGGAAGAGAGAAAGTGTAAATTGTGTAATTCCCTAAGCAGCTAGTCAGAGAGGTATATGGTGTTAATGTCACAAAGGGTTGTCTTTAGACACTTATCGCTGCCAACAGGTCCTCTCAAAAGTCCAGGAGGTGCAGGCCATTTCTAGATTTCAAGGTCCCAAGCCATTGGAAAAATTAAAAATGATGACACACTGAAAACAAATAAGGCACCAAACCATATGTCTTATTTGCTTGAATTTGCAGCTGTAAATGAAAAACAGATTGTGAAACTTAGAGAATGTAAAAAAATGAACAAATGTTTAATTTGACATCCCCTTTGGGCTTGAGGCACTAGAGCACATGACCCTCCTGCCCATGGGCATACCCAGGATTTTTGTTAGTGGGGGCAGGCCTTTTGTTAGTGGGGGCTAGAACCTCAGTTTCTTATGTATTTTTATTGATTTGTATTGATTTAGGGGGGCAGCTGCCCCTCCCTGCCCCCCTGGCTACGCCCATGCTCCTGCCCATCTCCCATTTGCACTGATTGCCAACCTAAATAGTATTTACGAAACATATTTCTAAAGGTTACACATTAACATACACACAGTCTTTGGGCCATAGCTCACTGGTAGAGCATTTGCTTTGCATGCAGAAGGTCACAGTTTCAGTCCCCTGCATTTTCTGGTAGGACTGGGCGAGGGTGCTGTGTGAGAAACCCCGGGGGAGCTTCTGCCAGTCAGTGTAGACACTGAGCTTGTTAGACCAATTATCTGACTTTGTATAAGGCGGCTTCCTATGTTCCTGTACCAGCTCCTGAGGCAGACAGGAGAAAGCAATTCCGAATTGCAACAGTGGCTGGAACAGTGAGAGAGATTTAGTACTCTCAGGGTCTCCCATTGCAAAAAAGAAAAATGTCATGAAGGTAGGTGGGGATTTAATTCATAAGGAACCACTGTGGTTGTATCTCTGTACCAGAATGATCTGCCACAATCAGAAACGTAGATTTTCGACTACTCCCCGCCCAATCCATCAGCCTATCTCCAAGACACACTCAGTTTGAAACACATTTCGAGGTTTTGTGAGTTTTAAACCTTCCGGTTTCTTCCAGGCGCTGTCCTCGGTTCAGACAAAGCAGGTCAAATTTAAATACGGAGTGGAATTGAGGGGTATCTCGTCTCTCTCTCTCTGGGGCACACATCCAAAATGTCCGCTATTTTTAATTTAAGGAATTTTCACTGGAAAGGTTGTGGGGCAGGAAACCTCCTGCCCTACCCGCCACAGATTCGTTAAAGCCAGTTCCTCCACGTTAACTGAATTACATAAATACATACTTACCGGTTTGGAAGCTACTGGAGGATAGAGAACAGTGGTCATTATTATTACACGGTGGAAGAGTCCCAGTAGAAGAGTTGACAGAAGACCCAGGGAAAATTCGCCTGTGTGTATTTTTGGTGGATGAGGGCGCGCAACTACTAAAAAGCGCAAAGTTATGAACGTGTGAATGGCTGATAAGGCTATCCGTAGCTATTAGCCACGATGGCTTGGCTTTGTTATCTCGCCACTGTCGGAGGCAGTAAGCTTTTGAATAACAGCCTCCGGGAATCACAAGTGGCAAGAGCTCTTGCTCCCAGGCCCTGCTCGTGGGCTTCCCATGGGGGCATTTGGCCGCAAAGTATTAGAACAGGATGATAGAATGGATCGGACTTTGGTTTTACGCAGCTGCAGGGCTCTTGCGTTCTTAACGACTGTTCATTTTTACTCAGCAGCAAGTCTCGCTGAGTTCTGTGGGGGTAATTCCCATGTATCCGTAGCCTGGCAGCTGGGATGTACGAGCAGGTGTGCAGGAGCGCACAGGCTAGGAGAGGCACGTCCCTCGGAGACAGGTGGCTAAGAATGGGTGCGTTGGAGAACAGGAATAGGTATGTGCTGAATACATTGGGAGAGGCATGCCGCCATCTGGATGTCCATTTCAGCTAAAGTTAATAGAAGTACAGAAGTGTGGTTGTAATGAAGGAACTGGCTCGGGCTGATTTATGCCAGAACGCGCCTGCGCCGAAAAGAATCCCCAGCGGGAAAGGCAGCTGTGTGGTGTTTAAGGCGCCGCAGAAACGTCGACCAAATTGCGTTTACCAGAGGCAGAAAGTTGAAGGGCGGAGTGCTTCCTATGCTGTCTAGGCTTTGCACTCCCCCCTCCTCCCTCCCGGGAAAAACAAAACAACTCAAAGATTCTGGTTTGGGAAAGTGAAGTTCTGGCGGGGAGACTTTTGACTCTCATTTGGACCAGGCCTGAAGGTCTGCGTCCCCTCGATTGGCGAATGCGGCATAAGGAAGTCTCAGGGATGGGCACTCCCCCTCCCCCTGGAAGATCTTCTCATGGTCTTGGGAACGACGGAAGCTGCCACTTAGCTCAGAATTGTCTACTCTGACTAGCAGCGACTCTCCAGGGTTTCAGAATGGGGTCTCTCTCATCCGTACATGGTTGGAAAATGAACTTAGAACCTTCTGCATGCAAAGCAGGTGTTCTAGTACTGAGCTGTGGTCCTTCAGACAGCTGGAGAAGTTGGCTGTGAGTGGGGCGTGTGGGATCCCTGCTTGGTCCAGACAGGCCGTGACGCAGGAGTTAACCCGGGTCTGCTTCTCGCTACTGCTTTTGACGAACTTCCGCGAACTCCTTAAGGAGCGGATTCACACCAGGAACAGAGGAACCACCTTCAGCTCGAGGGGCTGGTGAGAAGACCACCCACATCTCCCTGGCAGTCTCAGAATAATATACTGGAGGCATCATGGGTGTGGCCGGGGAGTGCAGGGGGGGGGGGTCAGCTTCCCCACCTCCAAATCAAGTAAATAAATAAAAAATATTTAATTAACTGACCAATTGCATCGCAGATAACTCGTTTCCTCCCCGTAACATAAATCCTCCCCTCTAAAATAAATCCTGGCTACGCCCATGGGGTCATAGAGGGGGCATAATGCACTTCTGAGGAAATGGGATAACCTTTCTCTTATATGCTAGATATCTCAAATAATAGTTTGTTTCTCATTACCGCTTCCACCCGAGGGCAGGTAGTCTATGAGTGTGCCTGTATGCGCGCGAGTTACGCTTGTGCGCGGTGGGCACTGACATACAAACCCCAGCCTGCGGCGCCGCCTACGCGCGGCTCTGCCTGTCTTCCTCTCGCTCTGATAATTTCAACTTCTGTGTGGTAAGCAACAAGTAATTCATCGCTAAATCAAAACCCGGATCTACATCCGGATTAAGATCAAAGGCGCTCTTTTTTCTTTTTGGCAGGGCAGAGAAGCTAACTCCTCTCACACAGACTCTTAAACCTTTTAACCTTTCCCTCGTTCTTCAGAACCTGACTTGTAAATAGTTTTAAGCTGGTGCATGCGCGTGAATGCAGTAACGGGTAAACTTTCCCCCTTCCCTTTATTTGGGGTGCCAAGAACAAGAAAAGGGACGCGGGTGGCTCTGTGGTCTAAACCACAGTGCCTAAGGTTTGCCAATCGGAAGGTGGGCGGTTCGAATCCCCGCGACGGGGGTTTCTCGGTCCCTGCTCCTGCCAACCTAGCAGTCCTAAGCAGGTCAAAGTGCAAGTAGATAAATAGGTACTACTCCATCGGGAAGGTAAACGGCGTTTCCGTGCGCTGCTCTGGTTCGCCAGAAGCGGCTTAGTCCTGCTGGCCACATGGAAGCTGTCTGCGGACAAACGCTGGCTCCGTCGGCCAGTAAAGGGAGATGAGGGCGCAACTCCAGAGTCGTCGGTGACTGGACCTAAGGGTCGGGTACCTTTACCTTTAAAAACAAGAAAAGTTGACAACCTCCCCCAAAGTGTGCGTATGTATGGTTGAATATATATGTGTGCATCTGTATAATGTACATGTCCTTCTTTCCTTCCTTCTGTCCATCCATCTATCACAGCTGGAGGGGGGGGGAATCTCACTTTTTAACTCTTTGTCATGGATGCTTTAGCTGAGATTCCTGCATTGCAGGGGGTTGGACTAGATGACCCTTGGGGTCCCTTCCAACTCTAAGATTCTATGATTCTTCACCGAATAGAAATCTTTCTATAATTACTCCTCGATTTCTGATTAGCTGGAAGTGAGTCCCACTCAGTTCCTGCAGATTTCCACCCTAGTAAGCATGCCTAAGACTGCAACTTTATTCATTGGTGGTCACTTACACTTTTCAATGTTTTATGAAAAGTCTTCGTTCTTATTTCTATGGAAACAAAAATGCCACGGGGAGGGAGATGGAATCCCCACACTGTTAAACCACTTTGAGATTTATTTTTTTTTGGAACGGTTTTTGTTTGTTTGTTTGTTTGTTTGTTTCCTTCAAAAGTGACAGACTCAGAAAACAGTAAGAAACAAATGAATGGCAATAAATGGTACGCTTCTAGGGGAAGTGGTTGGGAAGGATCGCAGGAGATCCATTTCCATCCCATTTTAAATGTGTGCGTTTGGTTGGATGGGGAGAAATACTTTGAAACCGGTAAATCAACCAGGAAATCCTCAAAACACACTAAGATTGGAAATAGGCAAGGAAGGAAACGCACGCGCTTCTGAAGACTATTAAGAGAGTTTTGAGAGTGTTTTTTTAAAAACAAAAAATGGTTAAGTTGAGTAGTATTGATTGACTGGGGCGGGTGGGGAAGAACTGCAGGGTCTTTTTACAAAGTGCCGGAAACTGACATTTGAAGACACAAACACGCGCGCGAGGAAGAGGACAGCCTCCTTTGTATTGTAGTCTACAGCCTCTTTCCCATATCTTCTTCGCAAGAGGAAGAGACGCAGCTGAAGTCGCAGCCGCGCAGTCTTAGAAAGTGGGGCGTGGTAAACACTGTCTTGGAGATTTTCGTTGCTATTCTTCCTAATAACCCACTTGAGGAGTGGTGAGTCGTGGCCTTTGCTAGAAACAAGCAGGAAGACATTTTAGGCGAGAGAGAGGGTGGCAGCGAATGGGGCTTCTTCTTACAAAACGTGGATGTTGTTTAGTCGTTTAGTCGTGTCCGGCTCTTCCTGACCCCATGGACCAGAGCACGTCAGGCACTCCTGTCTTCCACTGCCTCCCGCAGTTTGGTCAGACTCATGTTTGTAGCTTCGAGAACACTGTCCAACCATCTCGTCCTCTGTCGTCCCCTTCTCCTTGTGCCCTCCATCTTTCCCAACATCAGGGTCTTTTCCAGGGAGTCTTCTCTTCTCATGAGGTGGCCAAAGTATTCGAGCCTCAGCTTCAGGATCTGACCTTCCAGTCAGCACTCAGGGCTGATTTCCTTAAGAATGGATAGGATTGATCTTCTTGCAGTCCATGGGACTCTCAAGAGTCTCCTCCAGCACCATAATTCAAAGCCAGAAGAAGAAGAAGAAGAAGAAGAAGAAGAAGAAGAAGAAGAAGAAGAAGAAGAAGAAGAAGAAGAAGAAGAAGAAGAAGAAGAAGAAGCAGCAGCAGCAGCTTAGATAGGGATACAGAGATCTCTTGCTAGTGCGAGTTTTGGTGCAACCGTTTGGAAGAAGGGAGGAGGGGGGAGCTTTTAAAAATAGTGTTGGGATTGGAACAAGTTCTTCCGTTGGGGTTAATTCCAGCCTTCCAGGTCAGAAAGGTAAAGCTCTCCGCCCCCCCCCCCGCGCCGCCACCCCTTTCTCTCACGCACACGCCCAACACATTTGCTAGGTAGAATGTTCATCCATTTGG